GGGAAAAGATCTCAATGGGAAATGATCGTTTTCGCGCGCGTTTCAATTTTCAATTTTCAATTTTCGATTCTTCCTCGAAGGTGCGATTCGAATTTTTTGCAAGCCTCTTCTTTTCCCTAATTCTTCGGAAGCTAAAGTTTTACGAGACGATGTATACTCGAGGTGGTCAGGGAACTGGACTATCGGTGCGACGCTTCCTCGTTGAATTACCTCTAAAGGTAACAATCTCCTCTGTAGAAAAAACCCTTGGCGAACGAATCGAGCGAACGCTTCTTCTTTAAGCGGTGCTCTCCGTTAACCATCGTCGAATGTCTCTTAAACTGCAAACGGCCAATTCGCAATTCTATTTGCATTCGGTCCCGCGCCGTTCTCCTCGATAATGTCTTCGTTGCGACGTTAAAAACGAGACGGAGAAATTGGCCAGCCAGGGACGGAGTAAAAGTTGTAAAAGTTGCGGAATTCCGAAAATATCGAGTTATCCGCGATGATTCGTGTTTATTTGTTCGAAACGAAACAAATTCTGGTTTTACCATTTATGCTATATTTTTCGAGACACGTGTCATCAGATAGTTTTATTACGCGTTGTGATATTTAATACGTGAATATTCAAAATTTCCCTATCGTGGGGGTATTTTAATTAATTACATGCTAGATCATTAATTAGGTCGCATCACGTGATAATCTTTATTGTTATCCAACTAACTTATTCCATTTTTATAAAACTTCATTTTTATAAAACTTTGGATTTAGAAATTCTTCTAGAATGTTGCGATTACAGCTTCTCGAGCGTCGAATATATTATTTTTTAAAAACGACTGAATGGCGAAACAGCAAGTGATAATCGGTGAAATATCTGATGAGATGGGTTAAGATTTCGTATTTCGATTTAGCTAATTTTTGTAGTATTTTTGGTGTATATGGTTGAGCATGAAGAATAGATCTATGTCTATTGACTAACGAGGGTTATTTCTTAATCAATTTCTTGGCAATAGGACACTGCTGGTATCTCGTCGTTTCAAAAAAGTATAATAAATTATTTCCTTTATGAATCACCATAACTTTTTTCGGCCGTAATGATAGTTTCGACATTTGTTTAGGATTTTTATTAGTCAAATCAGATCGTGTACGATTATCGTGCAGTATTCGATTTCTCGCTACAATTTTATTAAAAAATGGACTTTCACAACTTTTGATCCTTCTTTTCCAATTTTTTCACTTTATCCGTCGCAACCAAATGTCATTGGAGATAACTCTGTTTCCACTTTGGCTTTCAATTCATCTTTGTTTAATATTCGGATTTCGATTTATCTCGAGGCTCGTTTTCATTCTCTTCTTTCCAGACTTGAATTTTTGAAATCACCACAAATCGAATGATAGAATCTTCTCTTCTAGCTAACTCTAATATTTCGACACGTTTCAGCTGCATTGTGGCCCAGCCAAATTTGTACAGGAATAATATTCTAAATTCGTTAAAAGGACTTACTACTCAAAAAATAACAGGACAATATTCCAAGCAAAAATACAAATTGAGTAGAGTGTTACAATCGATTCGTCATTTATTCTAAAATTTCATCGTTTATAGAATAACCTAATAGAATATCTTCTCGATATCTATCGATCCATCGTTAGAAAAATTTTCTCGAAAAATGTGTCGAAAGATGAAGATTCAAATGAAATCTCTCAGAGGGAGAGAGAAAAAAATGGACAGGTATCGGTATGTTTTCCACGGTGTCAAGAACCGCGCCTCGTCCACCGTGGAACAATCTTCTTCGACGCTCGAAGCGGGGCGAAGCTGTGCGAAGGGGGTGATATAATACTTGACTGACGGTTTTATTTGAAGTCAGCTCGAATTACGAGATGGATGGACGCAGAGAGAGAGAGAAAGAGAGAGAGGGAGGGAAAGCTCAGGTCGAAGGAGATTTAATACGATGAGCACGGCTCGCACCACCACCACCACCACCATCACCACCACCCCCTTTCTGGACTTGATCGTCCAGGTGGTTGTCATGCACTTCCCTTGTACGTGTAGCGTATCGATGGAGATAGGGAAGGGGGAGGGAAGGTTATGTCGCAGGCCGCGCGGACGTTCATTAGCGGCTGCACAGGGTGGATCTCGGAATTCGTTGTAGCGCCAAGGCCTCTGGCGCGCGCGGGGGTTGGAAAACGAGAGGAAGTTGGACGAGGAGGTGGAGTACACTCTCCACTCGACGGAGAGTTAATCCACGTGTGAAATTCGAGCGACCTCTGACCCCCTACAAGTGCCTCTCCTTCTCTCGCCCATCTTGCCTCTCTCTCTCTCTCTCTCTCCCCAACGCTTTTCTTTCTCCCGTTCTCTGATTTTAACGCGATCGTGGTGACTCGGAGCTTCTCTTTGTCGCCCCGATCGGGCACGGAGGAATGCTTTCTCGCGCGAAATTTGTGCCGGCAATTTCTTCTTTTTTCCCCCCTCCTCTATTTCTTTCTCTTCTCTTTTTCAGACACCGGGGCAAATTAAGCTGAAACCTTTTCGCTGAAAACGAACTTCTTTCGCCCCGATACGATACGATCTCTCTAGTATCTCGCTAGTCGGCGAGATATATCGAAATTGCGAATTCCTAGTTCGAGATAGAACGATTTATTCGTAAATATATATTCGAAGGATTTCGAATATATCTCTTGCTTGTCACTTTGGTTCCAGACGATCCGATCGAAGGATGGCAATTTGTCAAACACTTGTTTAGAAAGATCTTGAAAGGTTGTTCGACGCATCGAGATCGATAACTTCCATTGAGAGGAGGCCGTAATTTTCATGATGCGCGTATTTATATAGGGAGGAGGAGAGGCCGGAAGACCCCTGTCGGGTAGGCGCAGGAGGTGGTCGGATGGGATCTCTCTGCGTGAAACCGGGTCCTCGTTGTTGTATCTATCCGTAAGTGGTCGCGAGATAATCGAGCGTCCCTAGGAGAAGCTGGAGAAAGAAATTCGATCACGAATCGATCCTACCCGTGATCCGATATATTCCAGTAAGTATCCCTTCCTCGTGATTTCTCTTTCGATCTCCTCGAAAGAGGCCGTCCCGACTCGAATAATCGTGCGCGGAAATAATTTGGGCGCGGGTCGCGTAAAATATCGGGGGAGGTGGTTCCGCCACCGGAACCGATACGGAACCGATTCTGGAAGGAAACCAGGACAGGGATACCGGTGGTAACCGGAGCGCG